AACTCCCAAATCGGGAACCCGATTCGAGCCCCGTCTTCTCCCACAAGTCTGTCGTGCCTAGGCGGTCGTGTGTGCCAAGTTTCGTGCCAAACCGACGTCGTTTTGTGATTTTGGGGCGTTATCACCTCTAGTTCAAGTTTCTTAAGGAACTAGTTTGCCTAATGTGAAATCCGGCTCTAACTTCCAAACCGGGAACCCGATTCGAGCCCCGTCTTCTCCCACAAGTCTCTCGTGCCTAGGCGGTCGTGTGTGCAAAGTTTCGTGCCAAACCGACGGCGTTCGGTGATTTTGGGGCGTTAACACCTCGAGTTCAAGTTTCTTAAGGAACTAGTTTGCCTAAAGTGAAATCCGGCTCTAACTTCCAAATAGGGAACCCGATTCGAGCCCCGTCTTCTCCCACAAGTCTCTCGTGCCTAGGCGGTCGTGTGTGCAATGTTTCATGCCAAACCGACGCCGTTTGATGATTTTGGGGCGTTAACGCCTCTAGTTCAAGTTTCTTAAGGAACTAGTTTGCCTAAAGTGAAATCCGGCTCAAACTTCCAAACCGGGAACCCGATTCGAGCCCCGTCTTCTCCCACAATTCACTCGTGCCTAGGCGGTCATGTGTACCAAGTTTCGTTCCAAACCGACGCCGTTTGGTGATTTTGGGGCGTTAACACCTCGAGTTCAAGTTTTCTTGAGGAACTAGTTTGCCTAAAGTGAAATCTGGCTCTAACTCCCAAATCGGGAACCCAATTCGAGCCCCGTCTTCTCCCACAAGTCTCTCGTGCCTAGGCGGTCGTGTGTGCCTTGTTTCGTGCCAAATCGACGCTGTTTGATGATTTTGGGGCGTTAACACCTCTAGTTCAAGTTTCTTAAGGAACTAGTTTGCCTAAAGTGAAATCCGGCTCTAACTCCCAAATCGGGAACCCGATTCGAGCCCCGTCTTCTCCCACAAGTCTCTCATGCCTAGGCGGTCGTGTGTGCCAAGTGTCGTGCCAAACCGACGCTGTTTGGTGATTTTGGGGCGTTAACACATCGAGTTCAAGTTTCTTAAGAAACTAGTTTCTTAAGAAACTAGTTTGCCTAAAGTGAAATCCGGCTCTAACTCCCAAAGCGGGAACCCGATTCAAGCCCCGTTTTCTCCCACAAGTCTCTCGTGCCTAGGCGGTCGTGTGTGCCAAGTTTCGTGCCAAACCGACGTCGTTTGTCGATTTTTTGGCATTAACACCTCGAGAGATTATGAAAAAAAAAGGTCTATTATATAGCAAACCACTTCAACAGAGAAGAACCCCCTCCACTAGAAAATAAAATAAATAAAGGACTAGAAGACAAGTAGAAAAGGAGCTACAGCTTAGATAAAGCAAAGTGATGGAAATTTTTTGACAAATGAATAAATAGTTGAGATAAAAATTTCCTGAGTTTAATAGTCAGAAAAAGATCTTCTCCAGATCAAGAGAAAGTGATCATTCTATTTGTCTTTGTTTCAAGGTGTATGTCTAATATTGAGGACAAACTGCCGCAGTTTGCTAGATGAATAGGCTAGACATGCTACTATGCTTTATGGGATCTTGGATATTCTTAAGTCCAGAGATCAGCTAATTAAAAGGAAAATTTAAATACTTCGTAAAAAATTCTAGTTATACATATTACATAGGAGACAAAATTGTTTCAAAATTCTAGCTATACATATTACACATGCAAATGAACTTAAAAAAGTACGATGGAAGTATATGTATCTTGTAGCTAACCTAAAAACCAATGGGCAGTAATCTGATGATCAAAAGCTGATGATCTGAAATCAAGGGATGTAGCTGAGGCTGGTCTTCCAACAGGATGTCCGCACAAATGCACCAGAAATGAGTTACATTGGAACACAAAAGATCTGAAATCAAGGGATGTAGCTGAGTTACATTGATGGTCTTCCAAAAGATTTAACTTCATTACAGTCATTGATTGGCAACATTGGAACACAAGAGAGTGAATTTAAACCATTATTTGTCTTAGCATAAAGAACATTATTTGTGTGATAAAAAATCAATTGACAGGAAAGGTACAACTTCTGTCTTAGAAGGAAAAATTCAAAACCATTCTCGATACCAGGGTCACCAATTCTGGCAAAATATTTCAACCATGATTAACTTCATAATCAAACAAAAATGTTCACGCACAGTGAAACTGTGGGAAATGGTCCATATACAACATCTAAACAGAACAGTGAGTGCAAAAACTGAATTCAAACGGGAAAATGACGTTGATCCATCAGTCTGATAAAAGGCACATATAGAAAACAGTTCAATACCATGCTCTGGCAGAAAGATTTTGTGCACGCATACATATATAAGGGTTTCTCTCTGGCTATTTAGCTGTCAACAAATATTAGATTAGAAAACCTTTTCATTATATACTTGGAAGTGAGATAATTTGTTGGTCATCCATAATATTTGTATAACAGAAGTGCCACTTTCAACCATATGAGTAGTGGAACACAATCTGAATGAAACAGAGAAAATGGAAAGAAAAAGAAAAAGGGCAGATGCTACTGGCCCCTTTCATATAAATCTCAACCTCTTTCTCTCTCTTTCTCTCTCCTGTATGTGAGAGAGAATGTGAACAGAGGTAATAAAAAAAAATGAGTTCAACCTCTATACTTTTGTCTACAACAAGGTTAATAGACAGTGAGCTTCATCTTCTATTTTGAGAATGATGATATGATATAAAACACAGGTAATCAAAAAAAATGAGTTCAACCTCTATTTTGAGAATGTGAACAGATACCTGAACGAAGTGAAGTTGAACGAAGTTGAAGTTGAAGTTGAAGTTGAAGTCGAAGTCGAAGTTGAAGGTGAAGTTGAATTTGAGTCCTCAGAGAAGAGTCAGCAGAAGCACCATTGTTGCGATTTTCGAAGCTTCCAAGAACTGTGGTTTTGAGCATGCAGAGAGAGGATCGATTGGAGGGGTCGCCGAAGCCGAAGAACTTCGCCGGAGAAGAAGCTCTGAAAGCTGGGTTGAAGATGGCTGGCGACGGCTGATAGGCGAAGTCGAAGATTTAGGGATTTTGATCCAAATGATTCAAAGTTTGAGGGACTTCATAGATTTAGGGATTTCGAAGAATTAGGGATTTCTATCGAAATCACCGAGCGCCAAAATTGGGGAGAGCGGGGCAAAAGTTTTGTCATTATTTTTTTGCGACGGTACATTTTAAATCGTCGCAAATGGTAATTACGTATTGCTAAACCGGCGCGTTTTTGATATTTTTTTGCGACGGACATTTTTGCCGTCGCAAATGACTAACTATTTGCGACAGAAACATTTTGCCGTCTCCAAAAAAATATTTTTTTGCGACGGTAGGAAATGCCGTCGCTAATAATCCCATATAATGACACTCCCCGTACAGTTTATTGTCGACGGTAAAACTGCCGTCGCTAAATACCCTTTTTAGCGACGGGTTAATCTGCCATCGCAAAAGGTCATCTTTTGCGACGGGAAACGAGCCGTCGCAAAAGCTTCCGTCTTTTCTGCCTCCTTTTCTTGTAGTGTATGCACTGTTTCGATCCCATCAACATACATTGAACAAAAAGTAATGCACTCTTTGACAATGTAAGCCTCTGCGATTGAACCTTCTGGTCGAGCTCGGTTTGTAACAAACTTTTTTAAAGCTCCGAGAAACCTTGAAAAGAGAATTAGTTAAGAGCAAGGTTACACATGCAACATATAATTACGAACCTTTCAATTTAACAATTACCTTTCAATCCAATACATTCATCGATATTGCACCGGTCCTCTAATAATAGAAGTGAACGGCCAAGTGAACCATCACATCAAAGAAGGCTGGAGGAAAGATCTTTTCAAGCTTGCATAATATGTGTACTATACGTTCCTCTAATTTCTCAAGTTCATTACGGTGCAGTGTCCTTGAGCATAAATCCTGGAAAAAGCTACCTAACTCAAATAGTGTTTTACTAATCTCTTTGTCTATGTAACCACGCATTCCAATTGGAAGAATCCGTTATATGAGTACATGGCAGTCATGACTTTTCAAGCCTGTTAATTTACCATTTCTCGCATTCACTGATCTTGATATGTTTGCAGCATAGCCATCCGGATACTTCACTGATTTCAAGAATTCAAAGAAACCCTCCCTCTCTTCAGGGGTCAATGAAAAGATTGCCCTAGGTTTGACATAAGTTCCATCAGGACGACGTGTTAACCACAACTCTTTCCTTATACCCATATCTTCCAAGTCCATCCGTGCTTTGTCGGTGTCTTTGTTCTTTCCATCAATGCCTAACATAGTTCCAAAGGTATTTTCACTAAAATTCTTCTCGACGTGCATAACATCAATGTTGTGTCGAAGCTTCCGTTTCTTCCAGTATGGTAACTCATACAAGATGCTTACCTTTGTCCAATTTGGTGCCTAACGGAGTCTTTTCTTATTTCATGGATGCTTCCCATATGTGACACCTGTCACTCTATCCAATTGCTCTAATATCTTTTCCACTGGTAACTTTAAAGATCTCTTTCGCTTCTCATGCTTACCATTGTAAGCCTTACTCTTTCGCCTTTCGGGGTGGTTTTGAGGCAAGTAGCATCGATGGTTAGTGTATGCAGTCTTACCTTTCAAGGATTGAAAATATGGTTCATCATTGCAAGTGTAGCAAGAATAATGACCCTTTGTTCTCCACCCAGATATGTCACCAAATGCGGGCCAATCGTGTATAGTCCACATCAAAGCTGCACGCATCTGGAAAGACTCACCAGTTACGGCATCGTAAGATAATGCACCATTTTCCCACAACTCATTCAACTCATCCACCAGAGGTCTCATGTAGACATCAATATCGATCCCTGGTTGTGATTCTCCAGGAATAAGTAGTGACATCATAAGAAAGGGATCTTTCATAACCAACCAAGGTGGCAAGTTATAAGGAATGAGTACTACAGGCCATAAACTATACGAGTTGCTCATGTTCCCGAAAGGATTGAACCCATCAAAAGCCAACCCTAGGCTCCAGGGCAAACTAAGGATGTTGCACATCAAATTCCTTCCATTCATCACTATCAGCGGGATGTCTCAATACTCCGTCATCTATACGTTTCTCCTTGTGCCATCTCATGTCCTCAGCAGTCTTTCTTGACATGTACAATCTTTTCAACCTTGGTGTTAATGGGAAGTACCGCAACACCTTATGGGGAATCTTCTTACCCCTGCCACGATTGATCTTGTATCTGGATGCCTTACATTTTGGACATTTATCTAACCTTGCATTTTCCTTCCAAAAGAGTACACAATCATTTATACAAGCATCAATTAACTCATATGACAAGCCCAAATCACGAAGTATTTTCTTAGCTTCATAAAATGACTTTGGAACCAAATTATCTTTTGGTAAAAGTTTTGTTAAAAACTCCAATAGTGTGTTAACCGACTTATTGCTCCAGTGGTTTGTTACCTTCATATTAAGCAACTCGATGACAAACTTCAACAGAGTGTAGTTTGTGCAACCTAAGTACACCTCACGTTTGGCATCATTCAATAGTTTATCAAACGTTTGTACTTCCTCATTCTGGGGTGCATCGTTGGGTTCTCCTCTTATTCGATCTTCCACTAAGGCATCAATACCACCTAAAACCTCATCTTCATCAATTGCCATTTCATGATAAGCCTCATTTGATACACGTGGTTCCCCGTGCTCATGCCAAATAGTGTACGTTTGCATAATCCCATATTGAAGCAAATGAATTTGCACATTTCGAAGATTTTGGGAATAATAGTTCACACAGTTCAAACATGGGCACGGAATTTTACCTTCCTGGTCAACAACTGCCATTGCAAATTTGATAAATGATGTCACCCCATCAATAAATGGCTGACTCATCCTTCCATCAGGTGTCTTACCCAATGCAATCCAACTCTTGTCCATGTCTGATCACAAATGAAAGATCAAGGTTTTTTATGTCATAAAACGCATCATGTGTACTATTAACCTATTCCATTTAGGAATGCACAATGTGTATCATACAAAGAAAATCATATGACGTTGTCTATCTCTAATCTTTCCTTAGTTCTCCAAGTATATAACATAGATTAAGATGGAAGTATTATGGGAAAGGATAGAGTAGAAAAAAAAAATGGTTCCTGACAAGTTTACAACATTAGTACATTAAAAGGAATAAAAGAAAATTTGCTCATTTAGGAAACTAGTTATTTTTGAAGAAATAAAAAGAATCTTAGTTGATTGGACTGTTTATAGAGGCAATATTGATTATGGTGTGTAACTGTGGCTTCAGATTTCTCTAATAACAATATAATTGGAAAAGAAGATAATCGGGCACAATATTATTTGTTCTTCCTTTCATTTCTTCTATTTTCTTATTTTTATTGCCTTCGTTTTAAAGAGAAGGTGAACTTAGAGTTACTAATTCTTTCCTCTATCCATCCATTAAGTTTTTAGGAGAGATCTTTGTACACACTACTTAACTTATCATGTAACAGCATCACACTTGATATGTTCTTTAGTAACTCTAAGTTCAAACCAAGCCATGGAATTATTTATCTTCACTTTGACTTGTACACTAACAACCACATGTTCTCTACCTTTTGTCGTCTTCCATGGTAATTTTCTAATTTTTCTCTATATTTTTTCATCATTTTTTATTTTGTAGTCATTAGCTAGCCACTTTGTCCTTTGTTAGTGCTCTACTCTCACTATGCTCAATTTGGTTCAATTAATTTACTGTTTGATGTTTAAGTGCTTTTACCAAGTTGGTTTGTGGAATGTAACAGTTTGGTTGTTTTGGATTGTGGCTTTATGAAATTTTCTATACCCTTATTTGCTGTGCTAAAAGCTTAAATTTTTAGGACTATTAGCATTAATACGAACACAGAAATTGCTTTCAAGTCACTACTTAATTCATGACCTATTTGGTAATGTTGTGTGTTTAAGGTTGGTCAGTTGTTGTCAAATTTTGTCTTCCTTAAGTTAGTGATTTTTGTTATTTTTGTCATTTTTTGTTATTAAACATCTTTACTTAACAATTAAACCTCTTTAAAAAAATCTGACAGATTAAACCTCTATAAAAATAATCTGATATAAAAATAATCTGAAATAAAAAGATTTGATAGATTAAAAAATTTAAAATAATAAAAAAAATGTGAAATAAAAAATCTGACAGATTAAATCTCTTTAAATAATATATATAAAAATATATATATTGAGCATATGTGCATTTAAAATATATATAAAAAATTATATATTCTATGCCGATAATATATATATATATGGTTTGTGGAATGTAACAGTTTGGTTGTTTTGGATTGTGGCTTTATGAAATTTTCTATACCCTTATTTGCTGTGCTAAAAGCTTAAATTTTTAGGACTATTAGCATTAATACGAACACAGAAATTGCTTTCAAGTCACTACTTAATTCATGACCTGTTTGGTAATGTTGTGTGTTTAAGGTTGGTCAGTTGTTGTCAAATTTTGTCTTCCTTAAGTTAGTGATTTTTGTTATTTTTGTCATTTTTTGTTATTAAACATCTTTACTTAACAATTAAACCTCTTTAAAAAAATCTGACAGATTAAACCTCTATAAAAATAATCTGATATAAAAATAATCTGAAATAAAAAGATTTGACAGATTAGAAAATTTAAAATAATAAAAAAAATGTGAAATAAAAAATCTGACAGATTAAATCTCTTTAAATAATATATATAAAAATATATATATTGAGCATATGTGCATTTAAAATATATATAAAAAATTATATATTCTATGCCGATAATATATATATATATGGTTTGTGGAATGTAACAGTTTGGTTGTTTTGGATTGTGGCTTTATGAAATTTTATATACCCTTATTTGCTGTGCTGATATGTCACCAAATGCGGGCCAATCGTGTATAGTCCACATCAAAGCTGCACGCATCTGGAAAGACTCACCAGTTACGGCATCGTAAGATAATGCACCATTTTCCCACAACTCATTCAACTCATCCACCAGAGGTCTCATGTAACATCAATATCGATCCCTGGTTGTGATTCTCCAGGAATAAGTAGTGACATCATAAGAAAGGGATCTTTCATAACCAACCAAGGTGGCAAGTTATAAGGAATGAGTACTACAGGCCATAAACTATACGAGTTGCTCATGTTCCCAAGGCTTTTGATTGTTCCTATAAGGAAGAATGACCAATATAACAATGAAATGTATCATTAGTAAGACAAATATGTTGGCTTTTGATTGTTCCTATAAGGAAGAATGACCAATATAACAATGAAATGTATCATTAGTAAGACAAATATGTTGGCTTTTGATTGTTCCTATAAGGAAGAATGACCAATATAACAATGAAATGTATCATTAGTAAGACAAATATGTTGGCTTTTGATTGTTCCTATAAGGAAGAATGACCAATATAACAATGAAATGTATCATTAGTAAGACAAATATGTTGGCTTTTGATTGTTCCTATAAGGAAGAATGACCAATATAACAATGAAATGTATCATTAGTAAGACAAATATGTTGGCTTTTGATTGTTCCTATAAGGAAGAATGACCAATATAACAATGAAATGTATCATTAGTAAGACAAATATGTTGGCTTTTGATTGTTCCTATAAGGAAGAATGACCAATATAACAATGAAATGTATCATTAGTAAGACAAATATGTTGGCTTTTGATTGTTCCTATAAGGAAGAATGACCAATATAACAATGAAATGTATCATTAGTAAGACAAATATGTTGGCTTTTGATTGTTCCTATAAGGAAGAATGACCAATATAACAATGAAATGTATCATTAGTAAGACAAATATGTTGGCTTTTGATTGTTCCTATAAGGAAGAATGACCAATATAACAATGAAATGTATCATTAGTAAGACAAATATGTTGGCTTTTGATTGTTCCTATAAGGAAGAATGACCAATATAACAATGAAATGTATCATTAGTAAGACAAATATGTTGGCTTTTGATTGTTCCTATAAGGAAGAATGACCAATATAACAATGAAATGTATCATTAGTAAGACAAATATGTTGGCTTTTGATTGTTCCTATAAGGAAGAATGACCAATATAACAATGAAATGTATCATTAGTAAGACAAATATGTTGGCTTTTGATTGTTCCTATAAGGAAGAATGACCAATATAACAATGAAATGTATCATTAGTAAGACAAATATGTTGGCTTTTGATTGTTCCTATAAGGAAGAATGACCAATATAACAATGAAATGTATCATTAGTAAGACAAATATGTTGGCTTTTGATTGTTCCTATAAGGAAGAATGACCAATATAACAATGAAATGTATCATTAGTAAGACAAATATGTTGGCTTTTGATTGTTCCTATAAGGAAGAATGACCAATATAACAATGAAATGTATCATTAGTAAGACAAATATGTTGGCTTTTGATTGTTCCTATAAGGAAGAATGACCAATATAACAATGAAATGTATCATTAGTAAGACAAATATGTTGGCTTTTGATTGTTCCTATAAGGAAGAATGACCAATATAACAATGAAATGTATCATTAGTAAGACAAATATGTTGGCTTTTGATTGTTCCTATAAGGAAGAATGACCAATATAACAATGAAATGTATCATTAGTAAGACAAATATGTTGGCTTTTGATTGTTCCTATAAGGAAGAATGACCAATATAACAATGAAATGTATCATTAGTAAGACAAATATGTTGGCTTTTGATTGTTCCTATAAGGAAGAATGACCAATATAACAATGAAATGTATCATTAGTAAGACAAATATGTTGGCTTTTGATTGTTCCTATAAGGAAGAATGACCAATATAACAATGAAATGTATCATTAGTAAGACAAATATGTTGGCTTTTGATTGTTCCTATAAGGAAGAATGACCAATATAACAATGAAATGTATCATTAGTAAGACAAATATGTTGGCTTTTGATTGTTCCTATAAGGAAGAATGACCAATATAACAATGAAATGTATCATTAGTAAGACAAATATGTTGGCTTTTGATTGTTCCTATAAGGAAGAATGACCAATATAACAATGAAATGTATCATTAGTAAGACAAATATGTTGGCTTTTGATTGTTCCTATAAGGAAGAATGACCAATATAACAATGAAATGTATCATTAGTAAGACAAATATGTTGGCTTTTGATTGTTCCTATAAGGAAGAATGACCAATATAACAATGAAATGTATCATTAGTAAGACAAATATGTTGGCTTTTGATTGTTCCTATAAGGAAGAATGACCAATATAACAATGAAATGTATCATTAGTAAGACAAATATGTTGGCTTTTGATTGTTCCTATAAGGAAGAATGACCAATATAACAATGAAATGTATCATTAGTAAGACAAATATGTTGGCTTTTGATTGTTCCTATAAGGAAGAATGACCAATATAACAATGAAATGTATCATTAGTAAGACAAATATGTTGGCTTTTGATTGTTCCTATAAGGAAGAATGACCAATATAACAATGAAATGTATCATTAGTAAGACAAATATGTTGGCTTTTGATTGTTCCTATAAGGAAGAATGACCAATATAACAATGAAATGTATCATTAGTAAGACAAATATGTTGGCTTTTGATTGTTCCTATAAGGAAGAATGACCAATATAACAATGAAATGTATCATTAGTAAGACAAATATGTTGGCTTTTGATTGTTCCTATAAGGAAGAATGACCAATATAACAATGAAATGTATCATTAGTAAGACAAATATGTTGGCTTTTGATTGTTCCTATAAGGAAGAATGACCAATATAACAATGAAATGTATCATTAGTAAGACAAATATGTTGGCTTTTGATTGTTCCTATAAGGAAGAATGACCAATATAACAATGAAATGTATCATTAGTAAGACAAATATGTTGGCTTTTGATTGTTCCTATAAGGAAGAATGACCAATATAACAATGAAATGTATCATTAGTAAGACAAATATGTTGGCTTTTGATTGTTCCTATAAGGAAGAATGACCAATATAACAATGAAATGTATCATTAGTAAGACAAATATGTTGGCTTTTGATTGTTCCTATAAGGAAGAATGACCAATATAACAATGAAATGTATCATTAGTAAGACAAATATGTTGGCTTTTGATTGTTCCTATAAGGAAGAATGACCAATATAACAATGAAATGTATCATTAGTAAGACAAATATGTTGGCTTTTGATTGTTCCTATAAGGAAGAATGACCAATATAACAATGAAATGTATCATTAGTAAGACAAATATGTTGGCTTTTGATTGTTCCTATAAGGAAGA